AATTACCAGGTCGGAGAAAAGTAGGCCGGACAATCTAACTAGTGAGTCAGAGCGAGAAATCGCGAGTGAGAGGGAGGGGGGAGGACAGTGAGAGAGAGTGCACAAGAAACAGTTCTCGTCTTCCCTCCCATCTGCTCGCTATAACGCTCGGGAGGAGCCGGGGTCGCTCGACCACTGGACCGAGGTGGACAGCACGGAAGAGGCGGGAAGGAGGAGGAGGAGGAGGACGAGATGCTGGTTATCGTGGCCCTTTGGCCCTATTGGCCGCCCGGCCGGCCGACCCCGGGGCCCCAGGTGCCTCCCCAGGAGAGGGGAGTGTGGGTGGCGCCGTCCGTCTTCTCACCTAGACTTAAGTCCATCCGCCCAGCCCCTCCCGGGACGAGCCCGGGGCGCCGCCGCTGGCCGCTGGCCTCTCTCTCCCAAAGGGATGCGGTTCCCGAGCAGACCGAGAGTGGGTGGGTGCTGTGGTGGTGTGAGTGTTGGTGTTCGGTTGCTCCGTTTTAGTTTTCTTGTTGTTGTTGTTGTTGTTTCTTCTTACTTTCCTTCGCTTTTAGGGATTTAGCGGGCAGGTGGTCAGATGGTCTACAGGGTGATCCACACAGGCCCCGTCGTTTCTTCTGGTTATACTGTGCCGCATGCAGGCGTTCGGGTGGGCTTGCCGTTGCCTACGGTCGTCATTGCCGTCACTCACCGTGGCGCCTTGCGACCTCGTGGTAGTATGCAACCTGCCTGCATGCCCGCTTGCGGTACAGTATAAGCAAAATAGACTGTGGACCACCCTGCATAGTAATGTCACCTAGACGCGCAAGCTTTTATGTTGCAAAGGGGGAAACGGTGGCCCAGCCTTGCTAGAGGCCGTTTCCCATTATAACGGGAATTTCTACGGCTAAGCGGTCTTTCAGATCTCTGTTTTCTCTAAATAATCAACTCATTTTCGATCATTTGCGGTCGACCTCCAAGTGTGAGATGTAGAGTAACAGTGCATTGACAAGCTCCTCGACTATCCCGCCCCTGCGGGTCTGCGGGCTCCTCCCCCCTTGCTTGCACGCTCCGTGGGCCCGTCCAACAGCTTGCACTGGCCAAGTGTGTCATCCCGCCACAGCCCTGCGCACCACGCTGCGGGTGCGCTCCAGCCTCCAGCTCAGCAGGTTCGCCTCTGCAACCCTACCTCCGCCTGCTCCGCCTCGTGCACTTACCGCCTGCATCGTGGCTGGGGGTCGCCGCTGTCCACCTGTTGTCCCTCGACCTGTTGAAGCGCCAGCCCCGCGCCCTTGCGGGACCCCTTGGGAGAGCCCTTGGAGGAGCCCTTGGTGGAGCTCTTGGTGGAGCCCCTGGTGGAGCTCTTGCAGGAGCCCGTGTGCGGCTCCTCCCCCGGCGGGGCCGTGACGCCCCAGTCGAAGCACGGCGAGCCTATGGGGCTGCGCGGCGGGCTCCGTGGACTTCGCGGACTTCTCGGCGTCCGCGGGCTGTGAGGGCTGCGGGGACTGCGGGGCGCCCCTGCGCCCCCCGCCGAGTAGCGGCGCCCCGAGTAGCCCTTCTGCGAGGATGCCGACGAGGACGTCGCGGTGCTCGCGTACGCCAGCGGGTCGCTGCACTGGGTGGCGAACGTGAAGTGGTGCGGGCGCGCCGGGCTGCGACCGAGGGGGCTGCGCGCCGGCGGCGGCACCTGCTGCGTCAGCGGGGGCGGCGGCGCCTGCCGCAGGTGGTGGTGCGGGTGGTGCGAGGGCACTTTGTGCGAGGACCGCGACCCGGACCGCGACAGGTTGGACAGCTCGGACAGGGTGGTCATGTCGGTGGCCTGGGTGTCGGTGCTCGTCAGGGAGTCCGTCCGCGCGCGCTCCGACCTCTCTGAATCCATCGGACGACGTGCTCGTCAACGAGGAGGCCCAGTCGCAGGCCGGCCGCCGGGCGCCGCGACGCCGCTGCTGCTGCTGCCGCCGTCGCCGTGGTCGACCTGCCGGGGCTATCAGTGCAGGGCGGATGGACGCGCCGCCGCCACGCGCCGCCACGCCGGCAGGGGGAGGGAGGGGGAGTCCCGCGAGGCGTCGCGCTGTGCGTCCCGGCGGAGGGAAGTCACGCGGTGGCCCCGCTAGCGGCCCCGGCTGTGGCTCCTGCCGCTCCGCTCCGCTCCGCTCCGCACTCTGCAGCCGCTCGCCGCGCTGGCTGCCCGCAGACTGGGTGCCGGCCGCGGCCGGTCGCGGCCCGTGCCCCGCGGCGGCGGGGTGGCGGGGCGGCGGGGGCTGAAGGGGTGGCGCCATTCACACCACCGCAGCAGCCCTGCCGTGGCCCTACGCCGCCCTACGCAGCGAGAGCAACAAGCTCACTCTCCTCGGGGAGCTGGCCGTGCACTGGAAACATAGAGTGAGGTCTAGGGGGTCGGAAGTCGTGCGTAGAGGCCTGTGATAGTATTGTCAACGACGGCACACTATCCTCAAACTGTGTCACACTGTCAAATGCTGTATCAGCTTGTTAAAAAAGAAAACTCACACGGGATTGCTTAATTCTACAATCTCCAGACAAATGTTGCCAAAAGTTGTTGCTTCAAGTGAGAATGCGACCCGCTCACACGCTTGCATGCCCCATGGGCCACACACTTGATTTTACGCTTATGCTATGACTTGAAGTTGACTTAACCGTATTCAAGAGAGGTATTAGACAGCTGGCAGAGAACGTTCTGCCACCCCCACCCCCTCACCTACCCTCACCCTGTTTAGAAGACGAGAGCCTGCCAGCCGTCTAATGACCCTAGGGGCGTAGTGTCGACCAAAAGGGTGGCGGCGTACAGCAGGTTGCCTGTATACAGGGGTTTTTAAAGCTCAAATCGCATATCTTTAAGGCGGCTATTTAGTGCTGACAGGGGGGAGAGCACACGCATGCAGTAACAAACAAACAAACAAACAAACAAACAAACAAACAAACAAACAAACAAACAAACAACTGAAGAGAAACGGGGCGTGTTGAACACCCCCGAGTGAGCAACGAAATGTCAGACTGATGTCAGAACGATATCAGTTATCAGATACATGTCAATTTCAGGACCACATTTTTATCAATCTGATGCGAAAACCGACAAATTTCTGATCTGACGTATCGGTCTGTTACTGCATTGCTTACTGGGTATAAAGGTAGATGTTTATGTTGTGACCTGCTTTGCTCAGCCAATATTGGCACTATTTAATATCTTGATTTTTAAAGCAATGCATTTGCTTAATGCAAAGCGTAATGGATTTGGACATTTGAGAGACGGGTGGAATATAATATTCCAGCGTCAGATTTGGAGAAAACTCGTCGGAATTACAAAAGCCCACTGGATCGAATTTAACAATTATTATGGTAGATTTAGTCTTGTGAGGCGAGTCGCCCTGTTTTCAGACGAACATGTTCGGCACTGTTCGGAAACAACTACCACACACATTCGAATGGGCGCGCTATTTTATTTCCCCACTGCTGCCAACGTAGACTGACTTACGTTCGTCTTTTGTTGGTGTGGTATGAGAAATAGAGAAATGAGTTTGTGCCGTAAAATTTCTCATTTACATCTTTACTAGCCTCGTTAGAGACACGTTTTGCAATTGCAATAACAGTTGCCATAGAAATGACTAGAAGCGTCGCTCATCTGTTTAATTTCTTTAGGATTCTGCATACTGGACGGACTGCGAGGTAAGTGAGATATATCTTGATATTTCCTTTGATTGACCGGTTTAGGGCTGAAATTTCATTAGAAACCGCCAGGAGAGGTAACAAAAACGTTTTTCTACAACTTTTTCGTAAAAATACATTTATCTGTCTCCGTTGTAAGCTGTCATAAGCGGCTTAAATTATCAGACCATGAAGGTCAGGGTTTTCTGCTAACTACAACTTACAAGCTTTCGAAAAGTGTTTAGAAGATTTTTCTTTAGAGGCACTTTGTGAAAATATTGGGGGTGCGTCATGGAATATATTGCCGTTCGAATGTCTTCTTTTTTTCACTTCTAAATATTGTATTATTCTAAGAACGTCGTTCCCTAACCTACGTCCTTGTTACTAACTGTGCCTGGTTTTATTGCGAGAAAATTTGTGCCATGTAAAAGTTTGCCATTCTTGTTTAACAGAAATTTTGACTATTTTTACAAATTTTTTGTTTCAAAACTCCCCAATTTCCATGGATTTCTCTCTTAAAATGGTTGTTATTGTTTTGTTGTTTTCTTGTCAAATCTATTTTAGTATTTCCCTTCCCTTACTTTTTTCTACCTGCATGAAGGTCAATGAGCATTCCACTGTTTTGTTACTGAAATAGCTGCATACAGCGATGTAATGTTCCTAGTGTCCCAAGTGTTTGCCATCTGTCTCCTACATTACATAATAGTCCCATGATACGTTTTTTTTACTTTTAGTTTACAAAGTCTATCTTATCATTAAACTCTCAGAGGGTGCACTCACATTTACTTCCTAACTCGATACTCACAATGTTCTCTCTTGAAGATTGTCTATGTGCTTATCTCAAGATAAGATATTTGGGTCACAGTTTGACTGTTATGGGACATTTCTTCTGCCCACAGTTCTATACTCCGCAATGCTTGTAAGCAGTGTTTGTAATTGATTGGTTTCCTTTTTTTGTAGACGACAACAGCAGTCTGCTTCCCGGAATGCATTTATCTTCAGTGACCAAATATGCTGTAAAGCTTGCATACCTGCAGGTAAGTTAGTAATTTTACATTTCGCTTGAAATTAGCATCTCACATTTTACATTTTAATTGGTGTTTCTTGTTGCAGACCGGTGTGTCGTCCGCATCCAATGCGGGTGAACGCATGGTCGTACCCACGGCAATGTTGCTGGCAGGATTTGGCTTAGGACTTTCGACATTTAGTGTTAAGAAGATGTCAGGAACACCTAGCCGCCGCCTAAGTTTAGTGCGGATGATGTAACAATTTATAAAATTATGTATTTGTTGTAAGGAACTTTGGAGAGAAAGGACTGCACTCTAAATGAATGTTCGGGTTTTTTCCTGGGGAGTTGTTTTGACTTCATTTGGATGGGCTACTTAAGTGACTGAAGTTGTGAGCATGCTGCTGTGAAAATGAAACTAACATGTTGTTTCATTTGCACCTTGTGTGACAGATTTGTATCTTGTATCTTCTAAGTTTGTATAGAGAACAAATTTTGCTATGTGATGTCTTCCTTACTGTGTTGTGAATGTGAAATATTTTATGCTGCAATCATAAACACCATGGAGTCCTGAACTTACAGGAGTCATTGTAAATTATTGTAGTCATATTAGGATGCTGAAATATTGGTTGTTTTTTTCTTCTTAAGTTGTATTTTTTTTATAGTGCAGTTCATTTCTGTGCAGAGGCTCGTTTATTTAGTTCTAAATTATTGTTTT